GGGGGGGGGGGAGGGGAGGGTGTCATCTACACCTAAACCTGTTTGTGGGTATCAGCATAAAGTCACCTAAAATTCTTTAGTACACATTAAAAGGGAAAGCATATTAAATCCTTTCCACCCCAAAATATTGCTCCACTTACCAGAGAGTCCACTGTCTCCCTTTGTTCCTTTTTCACCTTGTGAGCCTTTATCTCCCTTTGGCCCAGAAGACCCAGTTCTACCTGTGGGACCCTGTGAACCTGTAGCTCCTTGTAACCCTATCAGTGGATCATATGGAACAGACACAAAAAGAACAAGATAATTTGAAGATATTTTTCCTTTCTGAATATAAAACAATCAGATACCAGAGTGTTTTACAAACATTAATCACTGAAACCTTGCTATCCTTCTTGTACTAAACAGTAGATTATTACACATTTTGCAAATCAAAGAACTGATGTTTGGAGAAGTCAACCAAACAGACTAGTGGCACTTAGCAAAACAGTAGCAAGGCTAAGAAAGTGATTCAGTGTTTGTGGTACCCTGCTTCACTAAGGCCCCGGACAGATTTTAAATTAAAGGCACAATGGGAATACAATCCTAACAGATGCATTTCTTGGCCTTCAAAATGTGCATGGCAGGAGGTACAATTGTGGAGACTGAGCATCAGATCCCATTATACCATGTTGCTGGTGCAGGGGGAGGGGGGAAGAAGAGCGGGCTGGGCTGGGCTGGGCTCTGCCTGCACCAGCATTAACTCTCTGTGCTCCCTTGGGTGGGAGAGTGTCAGCTGATTAAGGCTTCCAGCCAGGGGCTCTCCTGGCTGGAAGCCTCGGCCAGCAGATCCAAGCTCTCTGGACCAGGAGCATATCATGCGCTTCCTGACCTAGGAGCCCTCTGAGCCCCCAGCGACAGAAGTGCACCATACATTCCCCTGGCTGTGAGCCCTGGTCAGCAGATCTGAGCTCCCCTGGCTGGAAGCCCTGAACAGATGACTGGAGCCCACAGGAGTCTTGCAGGGCTCCAGTGTGTTTTGGAGGCTTGGAGCACTATTCACACATTCAATTAACGGTGTTATAGAAACCACCCACAAAGTTATTACACATAGTTCATGTAATAACTTTGCAACTAATTGCTTGGTTTATCATGCCACTAACTGATTAAATGTGTCGCCAGGATACTTCTTAAGATATGATTAACCAGTTAATCATGTCCTAAGTATAATGTATGTAAGGGGCCCAAATGAACAAGAAATGCTCTTACACTTCTACTCACTTTGACATAGGATTGAGAGTCAGGAACCTTGATTTTTAATCAAACCTTAGATGGAAGCTGCTGCTGATTTTAGACAAAGCACAACTGCCATAGGCTAAATCCTAATTTCTCCATTTGTAAAATACTACTTAGCTCCCTACCCCAGAGGCTTGCCTTCAGAATTGATACATATTTATACAGCACTACATAAAGATGAAGTATGAGATGACATTTATATGGCTTTTACTATTTGCTTATTGATTTTGTGGTTGAGCAACAATTGTTCAGCAAAATGCTAGCACTTATAATCCTGGATGTAAATGCATCATATGATAATGTCTGCTGAATTTCAACCATGAACATTAGATTATTTAGGAGTGTTAGCTACTCTTATCAAGACAGACAATTCAGTTTATATTTAACTTACTTAAACCACTTTCTTATTATATAGATGCTGCTGATGGACAAAACTAAACCAGCTCTATTAAGATTAACATGCCAGAGCATTCTGTAATGTGGATTAAATAAAGATAGCGACTCTGGTTGAGGGGGGAAAAAAGATTCTCTCATGTAATTCAAACTAAAGATCAGGGAAGTCAGTTTAACTATTAATTATTGTTGCACTTTTACCCACCAATCAGTGCTCTTAGACTTGACAGCATTAAATTTCTACCATATGTATAAATTCTAAAAGTTATATAGCCAAAGTTTCCAGTTAGGTAAATAAAATACCAGTACATTGATATATACATAGACATAGACATATATGGATTGTTTTCTATCTGGTTAAAATTCAGAAAGATCAGAATTTTAAAAAAATGCTTCCAATAAAATATATATTGGAAATGTTATTTCCAAGAACTGACTCTTGATTTTTTGAACAAAAGCAATTAAGTTTCAGATAAGCATCTGGACTTTGGGTTTTTATTTAACTAACTAGAAACTCTGACCTTTTCAGTGTGTGGGCTTTACAACATTTTCCTGTGTGACTCAAATTCCCTGCAGATATGAATGGGCACTCCACTGAAGTCAACAGAGCTATCGCAATTTATTACAGCGATGAATTTGTTCTGTAATTTCAAACTATACTACATCTTTTTAACAGGCAGTATAAGTGTGGTCTAAGTTGCTTACCTCTGTCTCCTTTGTCTCCCTTTCCTCCCTTTTCACCGACTGGACCTTTGTCCCCTTTTGGCCCAGGGGAACCAGGATTTCCTGGCAGACCTTGCTGACCTGCGGTTCCTGGCAGTCCTAGCATATGAACAAGGGAATGAGACAGGCAAAGAAAAAGCAGTTACATTTTGTAGGTGTTTATTTTTACTTTACATGTCTTTTGCTTACAGTAAACGTGAGCTTCTGCTTGATGATCTACTGACTGACTGAAGAATGTGTGGGGAGACTGGAGGAGTGTGCATGATTTCAAATTTAGCAGCAACATATAATGGAAAGTAAAGTTCAGCTGGAAAAGTCCTGTTGCTTTTTGTTCTGAAGCTATTTGTTGTCAAACTCTACCAGGAGAGGAAGACAATTCAAATAAAACTGGACTATTTCCAGCACTATATGGACAATTACAGAAATGAAAAGAAAATTAAATGCTCAACTGCAGAGTATTCATCAATGACCTATTTCCTAATACAGCATCATTAGATCAGAAGCAGCTGCAAATCAGGTTAAAGAAAACTACTTACCTATTTCTCCCTTTGCTCCTTTTTCACCTGATAAACCTTTATCCCCTTTTGGCCCCGCAGGACCTCCAGCTCCCCTGTCACCCTTCAAACCTGGGACTCCTTGCAATCCTGACAAATGAAAGAAAAGGACCATTTATTTACATCCTTAATACAGTTTATTTACTTTATTCTTCTGTCAAAAGTAATACTGCTACTTGTCAAGGTCTGCTTTTGATTATAACTTTTGACTGGTTGCAACCTGTATGCATGTGCAAATTACTAGGAAAAACCTGAGAACTGTTAAATTGGAATGCCATAAGATAAAGTCAATAGTCAATGTAATATGAATATAATATGATATTCATATTTCTATTTAGCTACTTAAACAAAGTTAAAGTTCCATATTAAAACAATCATGCTTACTTAAATTCAGCAATGTGTAAGCACTTTAAAAAATAAAGTGCTAGAAACTAGAAATGGGAGGACAGAAATATTTGCAGCTGAACAACAAAAACTCAAACTCATTAAATATTGTCTGTAAAGATGAATACAAATCTTAAATCAGGGGCAAGGAAAAGTTCACCAAATATTAAAGATACCTGAAAAGCAAGAAGTGAACATGTTGTAGTTATTTATGATTTTGCAGAAACAGCATATGAAGTTTACTACTAAACTGAATGAAATTCTAGGTAAAACTTAAGGGATGACAACCTAGCTAGTCTGAATCAAGACTGAATAAAATCTTTTTCTGAGCTATATTAAGTTAAACCACTGACTTTTAGAAATGTCCACTACCAGAAACAAGCTAAAATCTTCATCCAAACTTCAAGGCTTAGGCTGGTCTCTACTATAAGAATATTTATGCTTTCCCTTAGCACAATATAGAATTGTTTCATTATAATATGTTTGCTATGACTATCTTTTGACTTTTCTGAGTTTGGATTTTAGCTATATTCCTTAAGAGATTATTCACACTGTTTCCACAGGCAAAACTCATCAGTAGAATTTTTTCTAGATATTCATCCTAAATCATCTTCCATCCAGTTCTCATCACAGTACTCTGAGTTATGAAACTTTCAATCAGCTCTTTATCTTATGTGGTTAAAAAGATCACATTTAAAATATATATTTTTCTCCTTTCATATTTGGCATGGTTCATAGCTTGTTTCCTTCCCAACCAAAACAATCAAAACACTTACCTCTACCTCCAACATCTCCTTTTGAACCCTTTTCTCCTTGTGAACCCTTTGCTCCTTCTGGACCAGCAGGACCCATCTTTCCCGGAGGACCCTGTGACCCTTTTAATCCTTGTAATCCTAGTATTTGAACAACAACAATTTTTTTTAGAGAAAAATAAAAGAATAAAAAAGATGAGTAACAAAAAGTTTGTAAGTGTTATAAGATGAGATGTAATAAACTGGATCAAAATTACCTTGTAGCATACCCTTTCAACTCCACTGGGTAAAAATCAAGTAAGAATTTGACCCTTGTAATATAATGGAATCCAGAAATCATAAAAAGGTAGAAAAATAAGGATGGAAGGGACATCTGGAGCTTATCTACTCCATCACTGTCTGTACTGGAGGGGGGGTACCTTTTTAGCAGGTGTGCCACACATTAGCCTGTATCCTCCCCGACTGCCACACTGATCCTCTTCCTCTGACTAATCTGCTTCCTCTTTCTGTTTCCTACCCTGTGCTCCCTGCCTGATCTGATCTTTCCACTTCCTGTCCTATCTGATGTTGTGTTGCCTGTCCCCTCACTGATGTGCTACATGCTATACATGTGCCACCTGTGGTATCAGTGCTGCAGTTTAGCTGCCCCGGGTCTAAATCATCTGAGACAAATGTTTGTGTAACCTACAATTAATAGTTTGATGCAGAAATTTCTACAGCTTCACTGGGTAAACTTCCAGTGTTTTTTGTTTGTTTTCCATGGTAGTGGTAACAATTTTAGTGGCAGCTCTTCACTATGCGCCCCTTCCTAGATAGGATAGTTTAATTAAAATTAAAAGAATTCTGGTAGAAAACAAAGCACACTTTGCATAGGGTAGCAATTCGTGTTCTGATTCCAGTTGCAATGTTCTTTTCGATGACTTCACCGATATAAGTAGCATAGAAAGTGAGAAATAAGCAATGGAAAATGATATTATGTGGACCAGAAAGGAGAATATTCCCATGTATGTTTAACTAAACTGTTTAGAATAATTAGGAAAATCCAGTAAAAAAAAAGGCACGGTGAGTATTCACCCAGATAAAGCACATTAGTTCATGCATCTCATCATTTGACTGGGAATACAGGACAACTGAGATGCTAACAAGAATGATGATAGAAAAGCAAAAACATTGGCAATATTACTATAAATATTTGCAAGAGTACTGACTGTAAAAAACAAAAATAAACCCCGCCCCCAAAGCTTTAGCAGTTATTTTGAAAAGCTCCTTTCCTTTCTCTTACAATGGATTTGGTATATAATGTTCAGGTATAACTTGTGGACATAAAATGGTAGGAAAGAAATTCCTATTTTAAGGTTCTAGTAATTCTAGCAAGGAACAAAACCAAACCATGTGACATAAATGATCAGAAACAGATAGCAAATGTTCATAGATAAGCCTGTAAATAGTTTACCAGAAAATACCTAATTGCAGAAGCAGTTTGAGAAACAAATCACAACGAATGGCCAAATATTTAAAAAATAACTTTTTGCAAAAACAGACATAAGACATAATAGTTTGACTAAACTTCACAACAAATCCCAGTAATGTTACCAGTTCTTTTATGTGTTGTAACTACAGTAAATTCCCTTTCCATAACTATCAAACAAACATACTGATGGCATGTGCAGATGAAACGGGGGCTCTAAATTGAAGCAGGGGGGTTTTAAAAATACTGCTTCAATTTAGGACCCTTTAAATCTCCGTGTTGTTCACACACCCAAACTTACCTGCCTCTCTGGCAGTGGGGAGGGGAGGAAGAGCTGCCGGCTGGTGGAGTGGTCCCTGGGCTTTGCGGGGGGAAAGGGGCTGGTGCTTCCCTCTGCGGGAGCAGTGGCCCCTCCTGACAGCACCCACCCATAGGCACCTGGCTTGGGCACTCCTGGGGGGCATCACAACTATGGAGGGAAGCACTGGGCCCCTGCGTAGCTCAGGCAGGCAGGCTCCAGCGGCAAAAAAATAAAGATTTTGGGCAGACCCTGCCTTCCCAGGCTGCTGCCAAGCTGCCTGCACGGGCTTCCTGCAGAGCCCCTGAGCTGCACGGAGCCCAGTGCTTCACTCTACAGCTGTAGGGGCACCAAACTAAAACTCCTCAGAGCAGTTTTGGTTTGCTGCACCCCAAGTCATTTAAGGTGTATTACACCGCTGAGTTTGCTACAGTGCTTGGAATTACTGCACAATATGCTGCGAATACATGCAAACACCAACACCATTAAAGTGGTGCAAAAGCATTTAACCCACTTTAAAGTGTCGTGCACACCTGCCCCTCATTTTGTCTACACACAGCCCTACAGTTCTTAGCACCCCTCTTTCTTCCTCTTTCCCAGCCCTCTGGCACTTGACAGCATCCCTGCTCGGGGCTCTGAAATTGATGTATATACCTTTGGTGGTAGGATCAAATGTTTCCTCCACTATGTATTCTGGAACCGATACTTGGAATTAGATTGTTCTCTATCACTGCAAACAACACAACAGTATCCTACAATATGCACTAAACAGAATTGATACAAGATAAGGCACAGGGAAATATTTTCATACAAAGAAGGATTTGGAATATTTTAAGGTACATAGATCCCCTCATTTCATAAATGCTGGACCCACTCTGCTGGGTTTTACTGTGGAACTCACTTTAGTATTGTGTAAAAAGCATTAACCAAGATTAGTGCTTACAAGCTAAGCATTCACATTTCCCTTTTAATGACCTTTTCACCTCTTTTTACATCTGAGTGTTTCAGGAGAAAAAATGTAAGCAACTTTCATAATGTTCTGTTGATGATGAAATCTGTAGCTTAGCTACATTTTTGTATTTTTATATTTGACTTTTTTAAAAAGAGGAACAAATGTGTTCTTTTAAAAAGAAATGAAAGAAAAGGAAGGCACTTCCTCTACCTTGCTCTAACAATAACAAGTTTCTCTCATGACCAATCTGGGTCATGTTTCTAAGTGGTGACCTAGAGGTGAAAGATTTTACACTGCAACACCTATCTTTAAGGGCAGGTGTAGACAAAATAGGGGCCCTAAATTGAAGCGGTGGGTTTTAAAAAACACTGCTTCAATTTACGGCTGATTAAACCCCTGTATCATGCACACACCCTGCTGACTTACCTGCCTCTCCGGTGGGGAGGAGAGGGTGAGCCGCTGGCAGGCAGAGTGGTCCCTGGGCTGCAGGAGAGTTGGTACTTCCCTCCGCAGCAGCAGCAGCCCTCCCCTCCCCATGGTGGCACCCACCCACAGGCACCTGGCTCAGGTGGTCCTGGGGGGCACCCTAGCTGTGGAGGGAAGCACCAGGTCTCCGCAAAGCTCAGGAAGGCAGGCAGGCTCCAGGGAACAAAAAAAAAAAAAGATCAGGCTCATCACTTTTCTTGGGTTTTCCCAGGCTGCTGCCAGGTTGCCTGCAGGGCTTTCTGCAGAGGCATGGAGCTGCACAGAACCCAAGGAGTTTTAGTTTGCCATTTAAGGTGCATTACACAGCTGAATTCCCTACAGCAGCTGGAATTAATGCGCAAATCGTTGTCAACGTGTGCAAACACTGACACCACTAAAACTGTGCAAAAGCATTTAGTCCACTTTAAAGTGTCATGCACACACACCTCCCGTTTCGTCTACACATGGCCTGAGACACTAGTCCTAGACAGTAACAAGTTTTATTTTTACTTTAAATAGTATTGTCAACTTAGACCCAACCCTTTATATTTAGCAGTAGGAATTTAAGGACCATCAGATTTTACATGCTTTATGATCACCTACATTCAGAAACCTTTTAATACACATTCTACAGATGTACATAATTTGCCATAAGCTTCCCATTAATTAAAAAGTTAAAATAATTAGCAATGAAGTGTGTGTGTGTGAACAGTAAGTATGGCACTAGGAAACAAATAGTTCTATACCTGGATTTCCCTTTTCCCCCTTAGGACCTTCCTTCCCATCTCTTCCATCTCTGCCTGGTAATCCACTCTGAGCAGGCCCACATACCACTATTGTACATATGTTTGGCTCCGATTTTTGGACAACCTGAGTTGGATTTGCAATGGATATTGTCACCACAGTGAAAGCACTCAAAATTGAAAGCAGCAGCATTGTTCAGTTTTCTGACCTGTAAAATAATATTGATAGCATTACTTCAAAAGTCTTTGGACTCCATATAAAATTTTGTATTTCTTAGTGCAAACTGATTAAAGATATCAATGTAAATTCTTTTTAAACAGTATGAGTGTTCATGAATGACAGATCATGAAGCTATTTTTTAAAGTTTTTCTTCCCTAAGCTACTGACATCTTGAAATAACAAAGCAGCTGAATTGACGCTCCATTATGCTGCCCACTGTCAAGATAGTTGCATAAACTCTGTACTGGATCCTGTTTTTTGTTCTATGCTAGTGAACCACACAAACGATATCCTACTGTGGGAAATCAGGGTCTTGATCAGCCAATGGAGTATTTCAGTTGTGCTCTTTGTCTTGTAAGATATAAATACCCCATTTGCATCTCAGCTCACAAGTTCCTCTTGGCTCAGTACTAGTTTATTCAAAATATACTGCAGGTGGAGTCAATTTGCAAAGTCCCTGTATTTTAGGAATGGGCAGCCAAGAAACTAACAAACATACCAGAGATTGTATCTATTGTATTTGCATGTACCCAACCATGGAAAGGATTAGTTAAACATTGACAGGTGTCTTTGAAGGGACAATACCAAATAAAAATCAGCTCCAATGTTATGAAACCTATTTAATGAACACTGTGTGTGTACACTTGTACCTTGAGTAAAAACAGGGCTACAAAAGTCATTCTTCAGATCTGTTCAATGTGATACCACCTGCTCTATCAGACTTAATATCTGAATATTGTTAGTGAGCATAGTGTCACATAATAATATTTAGGTATTATATCTACTCTTACACACACATAAAGTAAATTCCAAATATAAGTCTTTGGAAAAGGTGTATAAGAATGCAGATTCATTATTAAAGGAAAGAAAAAAAGGCATGATACTATAGATAGGATTCAGTTACTTACTCTGTAATTTCTGGTGCTTTGTTGAAGCCTTAATAGGAATAAAAGAGAAAGTATTCAGCCTTCCTTTTATACTGTAGGCATTAGGCAACATGAGCTCTCATTTGTCAATTTAGGTTGCTGAAGGATATTTTACCACCCAGTGTATCTTGAAACACTGATGGGAAGGAGGGCATAGTATGAAGAAGGTAAATTCCTCTGTTCACAAAACAACAGGAACTGTAATGGCTTAAAATTACACAGCAGAAGTCAAACGTATTGCCTAGTTTGACTTCTGGAATATTTGGCAATACTGGAAAAAATGGATGGGTAAATAATTGCCCAGTACAAATTGCATTTACTGGGCCTTACTAAAGACTAGTGAAATCAATGCAAAGATTCAATGGGTTTTACATCAGACCCATATCAGAGAGAAATCGGATCCCACTGAACTTAGCAGTCAAGCAAACAGCTAAAATTACTAATGGTTCAGTACAGTTTCTGAAATACACAGAGTGCAAATTTCTGTCTTTTCCTTAAATGCTGTATATCATAGCTCTTCTCTTATAAAACAGTTTTGTCTCAAAAAAATTAGACCATGCAAATATATTTTTTTTTTCTGTAGTATGCTCATTAATCAATGCCTTTCTTATTTCCAGGAAAGTCTGAATCAACTGAAAAGATATTAAAACTCTCTGGGAACTCCAGCAGTTTCTGGAACCAAAGTGCAAACCAAAGATTGTTTTAAGATTTAGAAAGGTTTCAGTAGGTTTTTATTGCTTCCAATTTCTGGTCAGGACCACACTCAGAATGTACCAGAAAATACATCCCTGGTACTGAGGAATGAATACAGATTAAGAGATTTGTATGTCTTAGGTAAGCATCCAGTTTTGTGTGCTTCCCAAGATATAGCCTTTCTTCAAGGTTTACTCATTACTATCTATTAAATTGTGCATAGCCAGGGATGCAGAATAACATGTACCCCTTGTGGAAGGGGGTCTATTTCGATGTCAGTATTGTAGAGCAAAACTGGAAGAAAACCAGTGAAACTTGCTTATTTGTTATTGTTGTTAATTTCACACACATTTTTCTATCGATAGGGACAGACATTACACATAAACTGGTTTAAGTGATCAGAAACTGGTTTAAACCTGTAACAGAGCAGCTGTTCAGTGCACATAAACCAGTTTGAAAGTGGCTGAAGCCAGTTTGAGATAAACCTGGTTAAATGTAGTATCAGACTTAACTGATTTGAGTCATACTGGTTTATAAAATGTCTGTCGCAAACCCCTTGCTGATTTAAGTTCAATCAGAGTCCCCCAGGACCCTGGCATGCTCTCTGGGCTGGGTGGGGCTCTCTGCTCCACAGCAGGGCTGGCCCCTCCCCTCTGCCCCTCACTGGATCTCAGCACAGGTTTACAGGGTCAGCAGGGTCTGCTGGCCCTGTGCCCCCCTCACCACTCATTGCTTGAGCAGAGATCCCTTCCTCCTCTCTGCCCCATCGGGGACCATAGCCAGTATGTGGTATGCTAGCTAATGCCAAGAAGTGTCTGTGTGTGTCTCTGTCTTCAAGTTCACTTGGACAGGCAGACAGATCAGTGACTGCTTCGGACTTTTGGAGCTAATCAA